AAGTTTCCAAGTTGGCTTTTTGCACCTGCTTATGGTACAACAGAACACACAGACCAGGGAGGGGATGCTGTCATCTCTATTTTTCCTCTATGTCACCTCACTCCTTGTCTGTAAGAAGACTTAGATGGGGGCAGGTGTTGGTGTAATGGTTAAGCTAATGCTTGGGACACCTACATCCCATACTGAAGTGCCTGTGTTCATGCCCCCTCTCTGCTTCTGATTCCAGCTTCCTAATAATGTGCACCCTGGGAGGCAGTGGCTGATGGTTCAAATAGTTGGGTTCTTGCCATCCCCACAGCAGATCCAGACTGAGTTCTGGGCTCCTGGCCTAGCTCTGACGCAATCCTGGTGGCTGCAGGCATTTGGGAAGTGCAACAGCAGATGGAAGGATCTCTGTGCCCATCAAATAAAAGATGATGACGAGGACTGAGAGGAAGAAAGGGGAAACAGACAACAGGCAGTTGTTCCTCAGAAGGCAAAATCTGCCCTGGCCCATTCTCTGTGAGCTCCTCCCAAGTATGAACGGGAGACACAGCAGGGTGCCCAGGCCTTTGCTTGGCCACATGTTGCACACCAACTTTTTCAGTTGCAAAAAGATCTGAGATGTTTGCACAGGCGTCTGTCAAACAGTAACTACCTGCGGTTTACTGGGCAATCTGGTGTTACTTTCACCTCCCTCTGAGCTGATACCTGTGCCAAACACCAAATGTGCCAGGCACAGAACAAACACTGAGCTTGATGCCAGGCTCTGGGAGTTGATTCACAGCTTCTTTTCATGTCTGCACATGTCATGGCATGGCAGTCCCCAGGACCCATCATCCAGGTTCTCTAGTTCCCAGATACCACATGTGCTACAATGAGCGCTGATGGGGAACACTGACAGCGAGGCCAGGGTTCCAGGCCCGGCTCAGCCACCAACCCCATATGAACTTGGGCACACACGGCTCTCCACTTTAGGCCCAAGTTTCTGCATTTCCTCATATGTAAAATGAGGAGACTGACCTGCCTGATCTCTAGTTCCCAGATTTTAGGATGGAGCCATTTATACCTGGACTGCAGAATGTTGACAAGGACACACCGCAGGGCTGCTGGCAGAACTGGGATTTAACAGGGTCTGGAAAGACTAATGCTCTCAAGAGTGCAGCACTGGCCCCCCTAAGAAAGCAGAGAGGGGCAGACCCCCAGCTTCACAAAGGCAGAGACCCGGAAATCCCACAGCTGCTCACTCAGGAAACCCACCTGTGGGAAAGTCCACGGACAGTGCAGAGGTAGCAGGGAAAGGCCAGGACTCGCCCCTTGGATACCAGCAGGAAACTGCTGCCCACTTCCCTTCCACACACGGGTACACACTCACACCAGCAGGAACAGGACCCTGGGGGCACCTAAGACAGAGCTCCAGCCAGACTTGCTCTCCAAGCTCCTCCCCACCCCGCCTCATCCCGTCCCTCCCACATTAAATAGAGGGCCTCACTCCTTCTCTAGCCCAACAGAAGCAATCACATGTGAGTGCCCTCCAATTCTCAGCCCCACATCTCATTCCCTCCCTGAGGCTCTCCCTAGTCCCATCTCCTCCCACGCTGGCCATGGCCTCCTCCTTCCTCTGCCAGGACCTTGCCCCTGACCTATTTTTTTCCTTCACCTTCCATCTCTCCATTCACAAAAGCCTGCTCCCTGAAGCCCACATCCACTCTCAGCTCTCCGTACCAAATGCTAAGAAACCTCCCCTTGACTGCTCACCATCCACCTCCCAACACAGCTAACCTCTCCCAAGGACTGGGTATACCTGCTGTCTTTCCTGCTCCCTCAGTCCCACCCTTTAGGAACACCCAGTGGCTCAAACCAGTGGGTTCCTGCACCCCTCTCCCCACTACACTCCACAGCCTCTCCTGTTGGTCCCACATACTTCGCTGAAACTCTCTCCTCCCTTTCTCTGGCCTCCACTTCCTCTACCTACTCCACAGCCTGGAGGCGCTCCCAGGCTACTCCTTAAACAGCCTGCTTCTCCACTATCTGTGCTGTCTCCTGGACTGTGCCAGCCTCCTCTCAGCTTCCTCACTGATATCTCCCTGGGATCTCTCAACCACTTAAACTAATTCTAGAACACACTTAATTATACACATACATACCACATGGCCCCATGACAGTCCCACAGGCAACTATAAAGTGGCAGAGGGGAATTTTGGAGGGAGATGGAATTGTTCTATATCCCTACTATGATCGTGGTTATGTGACTATATGCATTTATCAAACTGCGCTCAACTGCACACCCAAAAGGGTAAATCTATTAAATGTGAGTGATAATTTAACAGGATGGAAAAATTTAGACCCACTGGTATCTCAACCGTATCATGTCTAAAACTAACATCATCGTCTTCCTCCAAATCAGCTCCTCCCGTGCCCTCTATTTTCAGTGACACCATCACCCAGCTCCTCCACCCAGACAGAAATCACAACTGGTCAGCGAGTCCAAAGTTCCACTTGCATGTATCCCTGTGAAGCTACACCTTGAGTTTCAGCTCCCCTAGCCGCCACCACCACCTGGGACTCAGGCCACCCTCCCCCTGCAGGGCCCTTGAACTCCTCCACTTGCACCAGCTCGCCTTCCCATGGCTCCTCCAAGTTCCTGGCTGTTGTTTCACAGGAATGCCAGAACTATTTGCAGATGCCACTGTCACATCAAGACAACTCTCCATCTAAATATTCCTGGCTAATTTAGCACAAGGCTCTTGTTTCAACTGACAAAGATAATGACTCAGTGTCCATGGATTTGATGGAAAATTTTCCTGCCAAGTTTTCAACTTCCCAATAACAGATTTCTGCAAACTCTTGGAGAAAGAAATGACCTCTCTCCCTGATTGTTTTCGAGAGGCAACAAAGCGTCCCCAAAGTGACCAAGGAGTGTTACAGGAAGTGCTGATATACCCTCCAGCCCCAACTAACAAGAAAAAACAATTTGTACCAAGAGCTTGGGATGTTTTTCTTTGCCCTGGGTAATAATCAGGGTTCAGCTTTTCTGCATAAACATTAGTTTGGAATTTAGACGTTTGGGGCATAAACACCAGGTTACACTGATGGAAAAAAGTCTAGATTCAGAAGTAAAGTATCTTTCTCTTCACAAAAAGCAATGGCTTGCTGTCTTCAACACTGATGCTTCAATCAACCACAGAAGAACTCCACAAACTACACACACATGCATCCTGCACGACAGTTGTACATGTAAATATACACATTTGCAATGCAGCCACAAGCCTCCTCCCACATTCCACCACAGAGAGGGAGCTGTCTGAGCAAAGAGTGAGGTTGAGTAAAACATCATCTCGGAAGAGCCACTTACGGACAATGCCAGCATTCAGACAAAAAACTTAAACTCCATTGCTCACTACTCAAAAATCAGCCCATGGTGATTCTTGTACCCATCCCCCCAAACCTCGTAGTCCTCCACTTCTTCAGCACTCCCACCCTGGCCAGCTGCTGAAGCCCACCCAGCAGGCACAGTAAATGCTCATGCAGGTTTCACCTTTGCCCCCCCCATTCCCCCAGGTGCACAGGTGAGCTTCCTTTAAAGCCCAATTGCTAAGGCTTCTATCACTGGTTTGGGGCAGGAGGCAGGATGCCTAAACCTCTCAAATACTCCCGAGTATTTCCGGAGAGGTTCCAGAGAGGTCCTTGGCAGCATGGGATGACCATTTTTAGAGTCTTACCTAAGTAGTTATCAACCAGAGGTGATTTTGCCCTCTAGGGCCCACTAGGCAATATCTAGAGACATTCCTGATTATCACGGCTGGGCAGAGTGGGGGGCAGCCTCTCTTCCAAACGAGACAGTCTTCCAACAGTCCTCAGCTGGCATCCATACAGCTCCTCTGGCAAGGAGGTGGGCCTGGCATGCCCTCCCCTGCACCTTCAAGGCCCAAGTTTTCCAGGGCTGCAGGCTCAGCTGGGGCTGGGAGGTTGCACACAAGCTAACACCCATCAGGAAGCTGATGTCTCTTACCCAGCACCCAGATTTGTCCCTGTAGCAAGCTCCATTCTTTTTTATTATTATTATTTTTCTTATTTATTTGACAGAGAGAAAGGTCTTCCTTCGTTGGTTCACTTCCCAAATGGCCACCACGGCCGGCGCCTTGTGCCGACCCAAAGCCAGGAGCCAGGTGTCTCCTCCTGGTCTCCCATGCGGGTGCAGGGGCCAAGCGCTTGGGCCATCCTCCACTGCCCTCCCGGGCCACAGCAGAGAGCTGGACTGGAAGAGGAGCAACCGGGACTAGAACCCGGCGCGCATATGGGATGCCCGTGCTTCAGGCCAGGGCATTAACCCACTGTGCCACAGCGCCAGCCCCTATTCTTAAAAGGCACGGGGGAGCCGCTGCTTCTGGGTAATGAGTGGGGATGAGCCAGGGGAAAGCTCGTGTTTAAGGAATTAAGCCCTAACTACTCATAAGATCCCAAGTGTTGGAGAAGAAAGAGGAACGGCCAAAGAAAAACGAACGGAAGAATGAACCAATGACAATAACAGCTCCCTTCCCCGGGTTCCCCAAAACCCCCACCTGTGAAGCCCAACAGCCGGCTCGGGTCAAAAGTCAAAGCCTTGGCACAAACCTGCAGCCCGGGGCAGTTAAAGGCCCCCAACACACAGTGCAAGGGGTTTCAAGTGAAGAGACACACGACCAAGAGAGAGCGAGGCAGGAAAGCTGCTCGGGCCACCGAGAGGGGCGGACAGCGGGCGGCACTGCGTGTCCCAGGCACGCAAGGCTCGGCACGCCGGCCCTCGTCCCCTCCCCCAGACAGGCCTAGCGGGCTGAGGTGGTCACCGGGGTAGGAGACAACGGCAGAGCCGCCACCCTGGCACCTGTGGCGCGCCCCAGAGCTCACGGCACGTGAAACTCGCAAAGGGAAGTCGCGCTGTCACTTGAGGAGAATGCAACGCGGGCCCAAGCGGGTGACGAGGCCAGGTGCGGCCGCCGTAGACAGAGCCCGGACACGGGGAGGGTGGGTGGCTGCCTTACCCGGCTGCAGGAAGCTGGGATCTGCGGTCACCTTCGCGCGGCCTCCGCGCGCTGGCCGTAGTGCTGGCGACCAACACGCGCTCCGGATCTGTTTACCAACTCGCCCGCGCCCGGGGAGGCCCAGCGCCAGCTAGCCCCGCCCCCGCGGCACTCCCATTGGCTGCGCAGCTGTCGCCGGCCGAACGCCGAGCGGCGCCGGGGAGCGTGCTCGGCCCGTGCTCCCCACCCGCAACCAATCGGGACTGAGGGCAGAGTGAAAGGACCCAATGGGAGGTTGCTCAGAAGGCAGGGCCCCTCCCTCTCTGCCCTACCTTGGCTCCCCGCTGCCCTTTCCCCTGGTTGGAAACTCCGGGCTGGAGGATCTTCTGTGGGACGGGTGCTCTCCACGCGTGCGCCCTGAGCACGGGCCCTTTTCGGAGCTAGGGCGGTGTGCGCGGCGGCCATGGTGTGCCGCGTGCTGGTCACTTGCCTGCTGGTGCTCGCCGGGCCTCCGAGCGGGTCTGGCCAGGAACTGAGGCTGTAGGGGAGCAGGCAGGACTGCAGAGGATCCTGCTGCTCTGAGGACGGGGCGAGGCCCGCTCTCTAGCCCACCGCAATTCCCAGTTTCCACGAAAAGCCGAAGGCAGGGCGCGGCGTCCCGGGCCCTCCTTTATCCTGTTTGGTGCTGCGGCTGCCTGTGTTTGCAGTACGTGGGCGCCATCCTCTAGGGCGTTGGGGGCTCGGGGCAGAGGCGTCCGTGCTCGCCGGCAAGCCTACTGGGACTGGGAGTAGGACTCTCGCTGACCGCCGGAGACCTGCGCCCGCTGGGGACGCGCACCTGCCGCCCGCCGGCTCCGTCAGCAGGTGCAGTGCTGCCCTCCACCCCCACCCCACCCCACCCCCACCCCCAGGAGGGACTCCCCGCCACGGGGCTCCTCGTTGAGAAGGAAAGTTCCAGCCGAGATCTGGCGGTGTTCGCTGGGATGATTCTCAGACACCGGCCTGCAGCTCAGCTGTTTGTGGTTCTCATAGAAAGAACAAGGACAGGCCGGCGCCGCGGCTCACTAGGCTAATCCTCCGCCTGCGGCGCCGGTACCCCAGGTTCTAGTCCGGGCTGGGGCAACGGATTCTGTCCCGGTTGCTCCTCTTCCAGTCCAGTTCTCTGCTGTGGCCCGGAAAGGCAGTGGAGGATGGCCCAGGTCCTTGGGCCCTGCACCCCATGGGAGACCAGGAGGAAGCACCTGGATCCTGGCTTCGGATCGTTTCAGCGTGCCAGCCGCAGAGCACTGGCCATAACGGCCATTTGAGGGGTGAACCAACGGAAGGAAGACCTCTCTCTCTCTCTCTCTCTCTCTCTCTCTCTCTCAACTCTGCCTGTCAAAAAAAGAAAAGAGCTTTTCATAAAATTCAAGCCAAAGACTGGCCCTGTACTGAGACGTCTCCTTTAATATCATTACAGCACCTGGAAAATTTCAGTTAGCTGTTCTATGTTGATGACTACATGGGGAGGGGGTGGGGTGGCGGTGGTAATAATGTATCACAATGACATCCAGAAGGGAGCCTGACTTCCCAGTTCCTCCTGACCACCTGGAGCTTGACTTCCTGGAGTCTGATCTGGGTTTGTTAGTGTAGTGAGGGTGAACGGAACTGGCAGCCCTGTAGCAGGCTTCCACACCACCGCGTCCTTAGAAAAGACCAAGGGCGTGTAGTGCTTCCTCCTACACTGCCTGCACCCCTCCAGCGGCCCGTGGGGAAATGGGGTCCCGGCCCCTTCTTGTGTATTACAAACTGTACCCTCCAGGCTGCAGCTGCGTGAGGGTGGGATTTTGAACAGCTCCTGTTTCTACTGCTCCAAGTGGGAGACCAGGAGGAAGCCCCTGGCTCCTGGCTTCAGATCGGCGGGCCGTACTGGCCATTTCGGGGGTGAACCAACGGAAAGGAAGACCTTTCTCTCTCTCTCTCTCTCTCACTATCTAACTTTATCTGTCAAATAAATAAAAAAGAAAAGGATCCTTACATTTTACAAATACACAATTATTTTCAGAATAATCTGATATGTAGGATTATCTTTAAAATATTACAGGGCTGGAGAAATGAATGTATCATGAGTTAATAACAGTGGAAGGGGAATGATGGGCATGTTGGAGTTCACTATATTATTCCCTACATATGTTGTAGTTCTCCATAATAAAAAGGTCTTTAAAAAAAAAAAAGCTGCAGGGGCCTCTGCCTGTGGTACCAAAATTCCATATGGGTGCCGGTTTATGTCCTGTCTGCTCCTCTTCTGATCCAGTTTTCTGCTATAGTCTGGCAAAGCATTAGAAGGTCGCCCAAGTGTTTGGGCCCCTGCATCCACATTGGAGACCCAGAGGAAGCTCCTGGCTCCTGACTTCGGATCGACTCAGCTCCCGCCATTGAGGACATCTGGGGAATGAACCAGCAGCTTGAAGACTTCTCTCACTGCCTCTCTCTGTAACCCTACCTCTCAAATAAATAAATAAAATCTTAAAAAAAAAAAAAGCTGCGAAGAAAGTGCAGATTACAGATAACATCAATAATACGTTCAGGTGAATAATAAGAAACTGAGTAACAATCATTATACTTCGTCAGCCTCACTACAAGGTAAGAACAAGGACAGATGTAACTATAGCTGATAAGAAAACAGCCACAGAATCAGCAAGGAAACCTCTTTCAGAAACCTGATTTCATTCACCGTTAACTTATTCAAGTGTCTACAGTGCCTTAAGACATTAGTTAATGATCATAGGATGCCATCTTAATTAACAAGACATTTTTTCAAATGTATCTTAAAACTTCAACTGTGTGTCTCTTTCCTAATGGACATCATATATTAATACAATAATAAGCATTATACACAATCAAACAAATATGTAGGTACACTTGCATAGATTGGAGGACATATGTGTTCTCCCAGTAGCCAAGGTGGCCATGCCTGGGGCTCCCAGATGAGAACATGGGATCCCATGATCTCCCTCTGACCTCCAAGCTCCTTTAGTAACAGAGGCAGCAGACACACATATATGTCCTCCCCCTCAGCTGAATCATCCTCAGGCACATCACAAGCCTGCTGAAATAACTTTCACTCATCGCCCTCATCCTCATTTACGCTCCCATTCTCAGCAAGACTGCAGGAAGAATCTCTCGTATTCATTGTCCACCTTTTTTCTCCCATTCTACCTAAACCAATATAGCTAGGCTTTGCAAACACACGCGTCTCTGAAACTGTTCACCAGCGTCCTTCCTGTTGCTGAATCAAACGGTCAGTTCTAGGATCTCATCTGAAATTATCAGCTGCATTTGACACAGTGGATTAATCCCTTCTTCTTCCTCCTGGGCTGCCTGGGATGATAATTTACATCCTGTAACATCCTACGTTGGATTAACACTAACTTAATCTCGGGAATATATAAAAATTTTGCTCCTGTGTAGCTCCATTCTCCACTCTGTTTTCTGCTGTTCTTGTCATATGAATTACATTTTTAGTCATTTTACAGACTTTATTACAGTTTATAAATATTGCTTATACGGTTGGTTTTTAAATCAGACAGGAGGAAAACATTTTCATTTTTACTCCCTTTTAAAATTTACCTGTGTACTTTCCTTTACCAGTGTTCTTTGTGTGGATTTTAGTTACTGTCTCCTGGCTTTTTATTTTGTTTCAATCCAAAGGACAACCTTTATTTCTTACAGGGAACACCTGCTAGTGATTACTTCCCTTAGCTTTTGTTTATCTGCAAATGTCTTTTTGTTTTGTTTTGTTTTGTTTTTTTTGTTCACTTTTTGATAATTCTATGTATTTTATGGGCTGTGATGTGATGGTTCGATACACAGATGCAATGAGTAATGATCAGATCAGGGTAATTGGCATATGCACCACCTCTGACTTTTTTAAAATTTTTTTATTATTATTATTAATTTTTTTGACAGGCAGAATGGACAGTGAGAGAGAGAGACAGAGAGAAAGGTCTTCCTTTGCTGTTGGTTCACCCTCCAATGGCCATCGTGGCCGGCGCACCGCGCTGAACTGATGGCAGGAACCAGGTACTTATCCTGGTCTCCCGTGGGGTGCAGGGCCCAAGCACTTGGGCCATCCTCCACTGCACTCCCTGGCCACAGCAGAGAGCTGGCCTGGAAGAGGGGCAACCGGGACAGAATCTGGTGCCCTGACCGGGACTAGAACCCGGTGTGCTGGTGCCGCAAGGCGGAGGATTAGCCTAGTGAGCCGCGGCGCCGGCCACCACCTCTGACTTTTATCATTTCTTTATGATTAGAACACTCAAAATCCTCTCTATTAGCTATTTTGAAATACACAACTAATTGTTCTCAACCATAGTTACCCTACTGAGAAAAAACATTTTAGTTCTTAACTGACATGTAGTAATTGTGTGGGTCAGTGAGACGGTTCAATACATGTATACAATGTTTAATGATCAAATCAGGGTAATTGGCATGTGTCACCTGAGACATATCCTTACTTTGTGTTGGAAATATTTGAAATAATTTCTACTCGCTACTTTGAAATAGTGAATTAGTTACTGTCAATCCTAACTATCCTACTGTGTTATAGAACATAAAAAATTATGCCTTGTCTCCAACTGCATCCCTGTCCCATTAACTGTCTTCTCTCCATCTCGCCCTTACCCACACCCTTCCCACACTCTAGTAATCACTGCTCATCTCTGCTTCTTTGAGATCAACTTTTTAGCTTCCACATATAAGTGAGATCATGCAGAATTTGTCTTTCTGTGCCTGACTTAATTCACTTAACGGTGTTCTCCAGTTCCATTCATGGTACTGCACATGAGAGGATTTCATTTTATACAGCCAAATAATATTCTACTGCATATATCCACCACATTTGCTTTACCCATTCAACTACGATTGGACATCTACGTTGATTCCATATGTTGACTGTTGTGCTGCTATCTCTTCAACATACTGACTTCAAGCGAATATCTTCATTTCTGAAGACAGTTTTGCTAGATATAGTATACTTAGTGGACCAGTTATTTTTTTCTTTACATCAAATATTTCATGTCACATTTTCTAGCATCCATAGCTTCTTACTGATGAGAAATCAGGTGTGAATTATATTGAGGATCCTATTACATGATTTGCTTTTTTCCTGCTATTTTCTA